AAATCAGAAAGCCATCTTTTTTTATCTAACGAAAGCCATCTCTTAAAATTGTGATTTTTTTAGAAATTCCAACGTTGTTGAATTCTAATTCTAATCCAACACCATGCTTAGTTCGAGTTTTTAGCAATTCAGATTTTAATTCACGAAAGAGTTTTAGGGAGGTTTTAATGACTTCTAAATTTTAGAAGATATTTTTAAATTAGAAAGGGAATTTAGAATATTATTATTAAAGAATTGCTTAGAATATGACATGTGGCAAAACTTTCTATAATTGTATCTCTCAAATGTATTATCTATAGATTATTAAAGAATTGCTTAGAATATGACATGTGGCAAAACTTTCTATAATTGTATCTCTCAAATGTATTATCTATAGATAGATACTAGTACGGTACCCGTGCATACGCACGGGAAATATCAGTTGGTGCATCTAATTAAATACTACGTATGATAATAAAACCAGTTTTTAGAATTTTACACTTTTGAAAAATCGGAGAACGATAATATAATATCATAAAGTATAAGTCCAAAGAATGAATATTAAAAGTAAGAGAATATTGTTAGAAAAGTGATATTAAAATGCGAGTTTAACCAGATAAAAATCCCGAGTTTAAACAAATCACCAGACAAACCGCCAAATGCAAGAATGAAACAATAATAACAATAATTAGAATAAAGTAAATTGAATGAATAAAAGGGATAAGAAAACTTATCGCAGGATCGCCCGTAAAAACGGACTGGCCTTGAAGAAAGATAGCCCCCGTATCCCGATAGCTATTCGGACGGGTCTGGCTAGCTCGCTCCCAGGATAATCCTACCACGTTTCAGACTTATAGCTACCTTGACTGAAACCTTCGACCGTTGCCAAATTTGCCGATGGATAGAGTTAACTCAAAACAATGTATGAAAGTTAAGACCAAGAATTATGAATTCTTTTGGAAAGCAAAAGAAATACGGATGAAATTCAAGGTCAAAAAGTGATAGAGAAGGTATGTTCGTATATCACTATCAAGACTTGTGTTTTGCTCTTACGTATGAATGGCGCTGCTCTCATTTGAAAAGATGACCAGCCCTTATAATGATATGCATATACATAAAGTATACTACGTAACATTAATGAGGGACAACCATGCAGGGAGTGTTTCAACGGAAATCAAATACATCGTAATAAACCATGAGAGTAAACGGCATAACGTATCCATTTTGAATGATCTCGTTAATAGCATTTAGGATAATTATTTTGAATTTAAATTCAAATTAAAAAACCTATCAGCTATCATATTTTATTGTTCACACATTTAGAGAGTCTCGTGAATTACGACATCAATTCCATCACCTGGCATACAAGCGAAATTAGAATGTCACATCACTTTATATGATACTTGAACAATGTTCCTTATCATACAATGATTATAAATAATCATACAAGATAATTCATCCTCTAATATGGAACAAATAAATTCATTGTTTTAATACATCACTTTACAATCTTTACAACTATGGATTCTAATTATAATTTAAATCCAAATATGTAAGTTGTGCTTTGATGTATTTTCAGCCTCCTCTCCATATTTAATACAATCATACTTTAGGACACAAAATAGTGACCCTCAAAATAATGTTTATATCATCATATTTCCAACAATCCCCCACAAATCCATAGTTGTAGACTCAACTCTAAGACATAGTGTGCTTTTGAATAATGGTACCTTCCGGTTTGAACCAAATTCTAAGCTCATACCCCTAACCCCCACAGGAACTAAGTGAACAGAGTTCTTGAACTTGAACCTTGATTGTGTTGGCATGGGATAAGAGCGACACACTAACGGCAATGGCAACGATCTATAGGGGTGACGCTATTACAGCCATGCGTCCTGATCCTGTCTCAAGAATGTCATCGAGAATTAACCCTTATTCTCTTATTGCGGCCACACAATAACATTCTCATAGTTGGGCATCTCCAAGAGTGCATTGCTAACACTCTGCTATTAAAGCTCGATCCCATTCAGAGTCTTAAACTCTTACTAACTTAGCAACTTCAACATCTCTAAGGCTTTTCAAGGAATAGAACTCATAGAATTATTTTAGTGAGATGTACAATTCACCCTACGGTTTGTTTACACCACATTGAACCTACTTTATGGGATCTCCACTCAGGTAGGTTGGGTTGCTACCGTAGATGAATAATTATAGGGTTTCAGTCCCATTCCTAACCTTGATTTTATCACTTGATTTAAATCAAGTCCTTTTGTTAACGGGTCCGCTGTATTATCTTTGGATCCAACAAAATCAACAGCAAACACCCCTTGAGACACAAATTTCCTTATAGTTTTTAATCTAACTTGAATGTGTCTCCTAGTCTTTTGATTATACTTGGTACTCCTAATTTTTGCAATTGTACTCATACTATCACAATGCAAACAAATAGGTGGAATTGGCTTGCTGAATATAGGTAACTCGGACATTAGTCCCTTAAACCATTCAGCCATAATTCCTGTAGTATCCAACGCACATAATTCAGCCTCAAAAGTAGACCGAGAAAGTACAGTTTGTTTAGTGGACTTCCAAGCAACAGCCCCACCACCAAACGTAAACACATACCCGGTACACCCATAACTCCCGGAGTTTTTAGCTATCCAGCTTGCATCACTATATCCTTCAAGAACATGAGGATATTTACCATAATGCAAACCCAAGGAAATAGTTCCTTTCAAGTATCTGAATACTCTATCTAAAGCCTCCCAATGAGTTCTGTTTGGACAGCAAGTGTACCGACTAAGTTTAGACACTGAAAATGCAATATCAGGTCTAGTACAGTTAGCTAAGTAACCCAAGCTACCAATCATCTGAGAATATTTTAATTGAGACACAGGAACACCACTTTCATTTTTATACAAAGCTACAGAAGGATCATAGGGTGTTTTAGCAATTCTACTATTTTTAAATCCAAATTTCTCAATTAATTTTTCAATATAATGAGACTGAGAAATAGAAATGCCTTCGGTTGATCTAGTCAACTTTAGCCCAAGAATTACTTCTGCCACCCCCATATCCTTCATTTCAAACTTTGTTTTCAAAAATGACTTAGTCTCAAAAATAATATTATCATTAGTGCCAAATAATAATATATCATCAACATATAGGCATAAAATAATACTTATATCACCTTTCCATTTATAATAAACACTTTGATCAGCATCTATAAGAGTAAATCCAAACGAAGAAATTATTTTATCAAATTTTTCGTTCCATTGCTTAGGGGCTTGCTTAAGTCCATATAATGACTTAACTAATTTACAAACTTTTCTCTCATTGCCTTTGGCCACAAATCCCTCAGGCTGATCCATATAAATTTCTTCTTCAAGGTCTCCATGAAGAAAAGCTGTCTTAACATCCATTTGATGAGTTTTAAGACCATATACGGAGGCCAATGCTATAAGCATTCTTATTGTGGTCATTCTTGCAACAGGAGCATATGTATCGAAAAAATCAATACCTTCCTTTTGTTTATAACCCTTAGCAACTAATCTGGCCTTATATTTATCAATGGTTCCATCTGGTTTTAACTTCTTTTTAAAAATCCATTTACATCCAATAGTGGTACAACCAGGAGGAAGGTCGACGAGCTCCCATGTTCCGTTTTGAACAATAGAGTCCATTTCACTTTTAATGGCATCCTTCCAATACATGGCCTCAGACGTGGCCATTGCATCTCTAAAGGAAATTGGATCACCCTCAATATTGTAAGTGATAAAATCACTTCCAAAATCCTTAGTGATCCTAGCTCGTTTGCTCCTCCTAGGCTCATCTATATCAATTGATTCAAAATCAATATGACTAGAACTACTAGATTCTACCCCCACATTTGTCATCTTTTCCACTTGATCAGGAATTGAATTAAATGTAGTTTCTTGATTTTCAAAAGAAGTATTTTGGGACACACCTGTTTTCATTGGAAAAACATCTTCAAAGAAAGTAGCATCACGAAATTCTACAATAGTATTGACATCTATGCCAGAAATTTCAGATTTAATAACCAAAAATCTCATTGCATAAGAATGTTCAACATAACCAATAAAAATAGCATCAACAGTTTTAGGCCCAAGTTTCTTTCTTTTGTGTTCAGGGACTAATACTTTTGCAAGACAGCCCCATACTTTAAAATATTTCAAACTTGGTTTTTTGCCTGTCAAGAGTTCAAATGGACACTTATCTTTATGTTTCATGGGAATCCTATTCAAAATATGACATGCCGTATTCAAGGCTTCCCCCCACATAAATTTAGATAATCCAGAATTCTCTAATAAACTGTTAATCATATCTTTAAAAGTTCTATTTTTCCGTTCAGCTACTCCATTTGATTGTGGTGAATAAGGAGGTGTTTCCTCATGTACTATACCATATTTTTGGCATTCCAGTACAACTAAATTAGAAGTATACTCTCCTCCCCTATCAGACCTTAACCTTTTAATTTTCTTGCCAGTTTGATTCTCTATTTCATTCTTAAAAATTAAGAATTTTTCAAGAGCTTCATCTTTACCCTTAACTAGATACACATAACAGTATTTAGAATAATCGTCAATAAAAGTGATAAAGTATTTTTTCTTATCACGTGTAAGCACTCCATTAAACTCACAAATGTCGGTATGAACTAAATCAAGTAATTCTGAATTTCTATCAATTGAATGATATGGTTTTCTTACTTGTTTAGTAGTAGCACATACCATACATTTCTTAGTTTTATCAATAGAGTGCTTAGGAATTAAATTTAAATTCATCATTCTTTTCACAGAATCTAAATTAACGTGACCCAAACGATAATGCCATAAAGTTGAAGAATCACAATTCTCAGATACATAATTTAATTCTAAATAATCAACCATAACTTTAAAAAGTCCATCAGACAAGTAACCCTTGCCAATAAAAGTTCCACCAAATAAAATTACAACTTTATTTAATTTAAAAGACAGTTCATAACCCTCCCTAACTAGAATGGAACCACTAACGATGTTCCTTCTAATTTCGGGAACGTGATGCACTCCATGCAAAGATAGAATTTTTCCCGAAGGGAATTTTATTTCTACTTTTCCAATTCCTTGCACACTTGCAGCACTTGTGTTCCCCATCATCACTGTTCTTCCAACCGCAGGCTGATAAGAAACAAAGAGCGATTTGTCAGCACATACATGCACATTCGCTCCTGTATCTATTAGCCACTCATTGGAATTATAAATAGTGAAAATTTGAGGATTAATAGAAACGTACCCATTAGAACTATTCCCTCCAGTCACCATGTTGACTTGAGGTCCCCCAGATTGAGCCTTGGCCTTTTTATTTGGACATAATTTTGCCCAATGCCCCATCTGTCCACAGTTCCAGCATGGTCGGTTTGCCTTTGGTTTCTTTGCAATTTTTAATTTGGCCTTTATTGGTTTAAAAGATGATGGTTGCTTATTTTTAGAGTTATGTGCTTGCTTTCCCCCAGTTATAACATGAGCCTTCGGTTGAAATTCAACAGGCGCAATATAACCCGCTTTCTTATGTTCCTCCTCAACCGTAATGGAATGCATCAAAGATTTCCAAGTGATCTTTTTCATTTTATGTTTTAAAGTCATACCAAAATCTTCCCATGATTTGGGAAATTTTTCTATGACCGCCATCACTTTAAATTTTTCAGGCAATTCCATGTCCGCTTCACGAAGAGAATGTAAGATAAGCTCAAATTCTTGTGTCTGTTCTAAAACCGATTTTCCTTCTTTCATGTCAAATCGTAGGAATTTAGAAACAATATATTTTTCAAGACCGTGGTCATCAGTATTATATTTTCTATCTAACTCATCTCAAAGGTCTTTGGCCGTCCCATGGAGGGTACAATAGACATCAAATAACATGTCGGATAAACCCATGAGAATCATGCCTTTTGCAATTTCGTCCCTCTCAAGCCAAAGTCCATGACGTTCAAGACTTTTGGGATCAGATTCGACAACCGGAGGACACACCGTCATAATCACTGAAAGCAAGCCCTTGGTGATTAACCAAATTTTCATGCGTTGTTGCCAACGCTTGAAAAAATGCCCAGAAAATTTTTCGGGCATTCCGGTTAAATCCACCCTGTGCGAGCCCGTAGCAATATATTCAGGTGTGCCTTGTGAATTAGTGACAGACACAGAATTATCATTTTCAGGGGCGACAAAAACATGCTCTAAACCAACAGTTTCAGTGTTAACAGCATTTTCCAAGTTTGCCATTTTTGGATTTTCCAAAACTCGAGAAATAATATCTTTCTTCAAGATTGTTAGAAAAGTGATATTAAAATGCGAGTTTAACCAGATAAAAATCCCGAGTTTAAACAAATCACCAGACAAACCGCCAAATGCAAGAATGAAACAATAATAACAATAATTAGAATAAAGTAAATTGAATGAATAAAAGGGATAAGAAAACTTATCGCAGGATCGCCCGTAAAAACGGACTGGCCTTGAAGAAAGATAGCCCCCGTATCCCGATAGCTATTCGGACGGGTCTGGCTAGCTCGCTCCCAGGATAATCCTACCACGTTTCAGACTTATAGCTACCTTGACTGAAACCTTCGACCGTTGCCAAATTTGCCGATGGATAGAGTTAACTCAAAACAATGTATGAAAGTTAAGACCAAGAATTATGAATTCTTTTGGAAAGCAAAAGAAATACGGATGAAATTCAAGGTCAAAAAGTGATAGAGAAGGTATGTTCGTATATCACTATCAAGACTTGTGTTTTGCTCTTACGTATGAATGGCGCTGCTCTCATTTGAAAAGATGACCAGCCCTTATAATGATATGCATATACATAAAGTATACTACGTAACATTAATGAGGGACAACCATGCAGGGAGTGTTTCAACGGAAATCAAATACATCGTAATAAACCATGAGAGTAAACGGCATAACGTATCCATTTTGAATGATCTCGTTAATAGCATTTAGGATAATTATTTTGAATTTAAATTCAAATTAAAAATCCTATCAGCTATCATATTTTATTGTTCACACATTTAGAGAGTCTCGTGAATTACGACATCAATTCCATCACCTGGCATACAAGCGAAATTAGAATGTCACATCACTTTATATGATACTTGAACAATGTTCCTTATCATACAATGATTATAAATAATCATACAAGATAATTCATCCTCTAATATGGAACAAATAAATTCATTGTTTTAATACATCACTTTACAATCTTTACAACTATGGATTCTAATTATAATTTAAATCCAAATATGTAAGTTGTGCTTTGATGTATTTTCAGCCTCCTCTCCATATTTAATACAATCATACTTTAGGACACAAAATAGTGACCCTCAAAATAATGTTTATATCATCATATTTCCAACAAATATTACCCAGAATAATCGACAGTATTCTTAGAATTTGTTGCTTATTGATTAGTAAACTTAGAACCTAATGAATAACTTTTGATTTCGCGTGCAGAATTGTGTAATAATCATAATAAGTAACGTTAAAGTTATTTTTATGATTGAATTTTACTAAAGTTACTATACATAATAACTATTTTACCTACTCGCTGCGTCCCACAAAACTTCTGTAAAAATTCTATTTAAAGTCGGAAATGCGTGAATAAAGTTAATTCTCTTTCCTGTCCTCAAATCTTAATCACACAAATTATACTTTATTATTTAACATGCAAGTCAAACATGACTAAGTTTTGTGGGACGGGTGGAGCATTTTTCAAACATATAATATTTTTGTTATTTTATTCATATAAATATTTTAATTATAACTTCTTCATAATTCAGCGTATTCAACGAATCCAGATGCTTTAGCCAGAATTACATCAATTCTTCTGTTCAGCTGATTCAGATGGCTCACCGCCAGTGGCGGAGCTGGTGTTCATGTGAACACCCAAAAATTTCAATTGTTATTATCTAAACGTCGACATTTTGTTAGATTGTAAAGCTCATCGGCGTTTCCGAAGCTCCAAACTCCAGAACTGGTCTGTCCCTCCAATTTCGGCTAAATGGTTTATTCAGAATCAATAATGAGAGAATATTGGGATTTGGGAGATATGCTTTTTAGTGTCTTAGTGGATTCTACGCAAATTGAAAGCCAACACATTGGCAATTTTGGTTCTCTCTCGATGGATAAAGCATACACAGTTGTTAGTGGTTGTATGATTTTTGTTTAAGTTATTGCACTGGCTTCCATAAAAAAAAAGTTACTGCTCCGGCAATGTTATTTAGTTTAATTTATTAGTGTTATTTTGCTTAATTTATTATTGGTGTGGCAGAATTTTTTGCTGTATTTATATTTGGTGTGATAGAATTTTTTCATTATTTGTGTAAATAACAATGATTAAAAAAACTCTTCTACTAATCAAATTATTAATTAATATGAGTATTCCATTTTAATTTTAATTGAGATTTGAACACCCAAAACATCAATGCCAAATCCGCCATTGCTCACCGTTGAAAAATTATTTTTCAGGATTACAATGGATGTATTGTAAAATACGTCATTTCTTAAGCAAATATGACATTATTTTTAGCATTATGAAAATACTGATATTGTTTTTAACATAATGATATTATTTTATGATGGTGACATGTTAATAAAATGCTATATTTTATTTAACATTCACAATTCTTTTATATTTTCAAAAATACTACTCGGTATTATTTCCTAGAATGACATTTATATATAAATTTTGTCATTTTTAAGTACCTCACAACTTTTTTGACATTATTGACCAACATTGTATGACTTGTAATATAATCTTTAATCATTTTAAGTTGTCATATTATAACAGTTTAAAATATTGAAAGTCAAAAGTAATAACCAAATGCAATGCACACTTCTCTATTATAACTGTTTAAAACATTGAAAGTCCAAAGTAATAACCAAATGCAATCCACACTTCTAAGAGTAATTATAATGCACCTTACCAAGAGATTTATCCAATTATCCCAATAAATTGTAGATATCTAGTCACTTAAGCATGGAATTAGTTAGAGATGTCCATTGCACTAAAGGAGGGATAAAAAGATTAATAATGACATTTTAGTGTCGGGATATTTTCAGTCATTTATATCTTACAATGATATTTATCCATTTATCCTAAAAAAATATAAAATCTAGTAGAATACTCGTACATCAGCACGGGTAAACAATATTTGGTTTATATATTTATTATTTAAGTACTCTACCATCACTATAAATTATATATATCAACCTACAAAATCAATCTTCACAATTGATTACTAAAAGATTAGCAAGTCTTTAAAATTCGATTAAAACGAAATCAAATACTTGCATACTGATTTGAATATGGTAAAATTATTTTAGTGGTTTGCCTTCCGGGGTAAAAAAAAAGAATATGGTAAAACTAAAAATTAAAAATAATAAAGATTAAATCATATTAAAGCATATCCCTTAAATCAATAGTTCTCAAACTCAAAGAAAAGTAGAACATAACACATTATCCTATAAAACCTCTTATCTTCTCAATTGAAATTCAAAACTGAAGAAAAACCCTGCCCACCAGTGATGTTAGTAAACGGGTTTTCAGAATGAGGGACTGAGATTGTGTTTACCAAGAGCGTGTTTTCTCTGTTGTCGAACCGCAGAATTGTCCCATTGTTGCAGTATAATATCAGTTAACTCATAAGTTTCTTAGATTGCATATCAACATCGAGGGAATTCATGACCTGATCACATGCCTGTCGTAGATGCTTGATTGTTATTTCAGTTTCAACACAAGTCTTTTCTTCAGCATTCAGTAACAGGTACGTTGAGGGACTGATGGTTGTGTATATTGTAGAAGCCACTCCAGATGATACTGAGGTAAGGTCAGAGAGAAAACTATTCTCAGATGAAGTGGAAGTTTCTTGGTGCATTGGAAGAGACAAAACTCTGAAAAAGGATCGATAATAAACCCCAATTAGCTCCTTGAGTAAAGGTGTTGCGTTGAAATATATGTAGTTAATTATAGTTGATTTTCTTGAGATCTAAAAGTGCTAAAATATATTTAGCTAAAATATATTTGGAGATCCAAATACATTTAGCTAATTTTACTTAGTCTTAGACCTGAGATAAACATTGGCCTACACCTCTTACTGAACTGGATCACAAAGTACCACAGGTCGTCACTACACCAACAAAAACTTGTGATCAAACTTGGAAGGAAAGGAAAGCAGTATAAGTGAAATGGAGTTTATATGCATATATTGTAACATTTTTTATTGTGCACCAATATATACTTCACCAAAAGATTACTAAAAATAAGAGAGTGATCAAGAGTCAGTTGGCATCGCAGAAGTACTAAACATTGCATACTCAAAGGTGCAACATAAGTGATCAACGCCGCTAGTCATCGCAGAAGTATAGATGTACTAAAAATAGATAATTGAATTATGAAACTACCTCAGATTCAGTATATTGAAATTCGTACACAACTTCTGGAATAAGAGAGTGATCAACAGTCAGTTGGCGACTCAGGCAATGCAGTGCCTTACTCAAGCGTGACAAACTCAGAACTTAAGTCCTTCTTGGCATTCAGCAAGATATATAGAATCCTTCCAGTCAGAATGGTATATAAAAAATAATAACATCAATTTCTGAAGAAAAGATATAGAAAGAAAAAATGAGCTGGAATGGAAATAAGATATCAGATGAACAAAATGAGTAGATAACACTCATTTTTATATGAAAGAAAATCTAGAAGGGAATCAAATCTGAAATTGAATAAACTAAATGGAGAGGAGTACCTGATACATAACGCTGATGATCGATGCAAGATGAACTACTCAAAGGTGCAACATAAGTTATTTCTGCGATGACGTTGGCGTGCGGTGGAAGAAGAGAAAAATATTTCACATTAATAGAAGAAAGCAGAAGTGTGTGGCTGAAGAAGAGAGAGCCCAAGCTTCCCACAGGTGGTGTATAGGAATGTAAAATTTCAATTAAGGCATCAACACTGCAGGTAGAATGTAAATGAAACATTGCATACCCTGAAAATTATAACAAATATATTCATATCACTATATGGCAACTTGGTAAGAAAAAGCAGATGAAGAATTGTACTTCTCATTTATGCTAGATGATAATGGGACTTGCAAAACCATAAAGCAGCCATCATCTAACAATGGCAATTTTGTTATGCTCTAAAACATAACATATTCAGAATGGAAACAAAACACAACATACATTACAAAAACTTGACAAATATATTCCAATCATTATAAGAAAATGAAAATATCAAGACAAACTTACTTCTCATTTATGAAATAGGAATAGGGTGCATTTTTGCTCTGTGAAACCAGAGAAGAGGCATCATCTAACATGCCTAAAAGAATTACGTAAACAAAATAACAGATATATTCATATCCTTATAACAAAACAGCCACATATTGACAAATTCTACGTTATTTCTATGTTATTTCAGGTTTCTTATCCATACACTCCAAACAACACTCTTTGCAACTTCAACTTCTACTTTCATTAAGCAGAAAATGAAATAGGAAATGTTGTTTTGTATCATTTTCAAATGAATAATTCATATTTAGTTACTATGATAGTCATATCTTAGAGTCCATCAATATCATTTCGCAGCGATTTTCCAGGTTTCTTTTTGGTCAGTGATGTCTTCAATGTTGTTGGTTTTTTGTGTCATAGTGCTAAGCAAAGGGTATGTAAACAATATATAATCTGAGGAATGTTAAACACTCCAGATTAATACATAATCTAAACTGGGAAAACCTATTGGAAATAAGGGAATTTATTTTTCAGGGATATTTTCAGCCATAAAATTGGAAAGAGCTTAAAGCCACAATGAATGGGTTAAAACAGAAACACATTTGGGTTAAATGATCTGTAAAATAACTTTATTTGCCAACATATAATTAATCATTATGTATTTCTTCATTTTAATCGAACTTTGGTTTTAAATCCTATGTTTTCTTAATCATTTTGGTAAATGTAATTGGACTTTTAATAGTTACTACACCATAGTTGGGACTGAGCATAGTTGGGATTATTAAATCCAATTTTCCCTATTTAGAAATCAGAAAGCCATCTTTTTTTATCGAGAAAAGGGTCAATTGAGTACATCAAGTTGTATGAGGTGGAGTAAAGAGTACACTATATTGCATTTGATCTTTTTAAGTACACAAATTGGGGGTTTTAGTGTTAATTGAGTACAGTTGTTAGATTAACACGTTAATATAGCTAAGTTGGCTAACATAATATTGAGTAAGAAAGAGTAATGGACCAATGTTATGGCGCCGACATTCACGAAGTCAACCAAAAAGGGAAAATTAACCTTCGAAGGTTGACCTGCGTGGGACGTCGGCAAGCAGGGGTGCATTGACCAAGGAGAAGTCGACCTGCGGGGGCTGACGTCGACCTGCGGGGGGCTGACGTCGACCAAGGGGAAGTCGATCAAGTGGCAGGGGGCGGGCGTCGACCTTCAAGAAGTCAACCTTTTAGCATTCCGTTAGCCAACTACTCAACCGTATTAACGTGTTAATCTAACAGACGTACTCAATAAACATTAAAACCCCAAATTTGTGTACTTAAAAAGATCAAATGCAATATAGTGTACTGTTTACTTCATCTCATACAACTTGATGTACTCAATTGACCCTTACCTCTTTTTTTATCTAACGAAAGCCATCTCTTAAAATTGTGATTTTTTTAGAAATTCCAACGTTGTTGAATTCTAATTCTAATCCAACACCATGCTTAGTTCGAGTTTTTAGCAATTCAGATTTTAATCCACGAAAGAGTTTTAGGGAGGTTTTAATGACTTCTAAATTTTAGAAGATATTTTTAAATTAGAAAGGGAATTTAGAATATTATTATTAAATAATTTCTTAGAATATGACATGTGGCAAAACTTTCTATAATTGTATCTCTCAAATGTATTATCTATAGATTATTAAAGAATTGTTTAGAATATGACACGTGGCAAAACTTTCTATAATTGTATCTCTCAAATGTATTATCTATAGATAAATATTACTAAACGTGGAAAACTATTCTCTTGCAAGAGAGAACTAATTATTTTAAATAGCTATATTTGTTGGGCCATTTCTGATCAAGTGGTCCATAAGCAGGATGGGATTTTCTTATCAAGTTGGGCCATTGCTACTCATTTACCATGGATCTCAAATGGGAAACGTCTTGGTCCGAAGTGAGAGAGAAAATAACGAACTCTTTCTCTATCTTTTAATCCCTGTGCTTAAGCTTCACTGTACTGAAAATGGACTCTCTCGCTCTAATCTCAACGCCTTTCTATCCTCACCGCGCTTGTTTTTCTGCCCAACTCCGCCACCGCCAGAATGGTCTCCTCCGCCACCCTTCTCGAAGGCCCGGACTGCCCTCGATCAAATGCGTTCTCGATTCTCACCCACCTACAACCCTGAAACCCCTCTCCGACTCTCAATCCCTAGACACAAGAGACAGCCTTTCACTCCTTATCAACTCGGCCCAGAGAATGCCGCCCAATACAATGCGTGGAGGTGAGGGAGACGCCATAGGTTTACTGTTAAAGGAGAGGATCGTCTTTTTGGGGAACGAGATCGATGACTTCGTAGCTGACGCTGTTATGAGCCAGTTGTTGCTGTTAGATTCTCAGGACCCCACTAGAGATATTAGGCTCTTCATCAATTGCCCTGGTGGTTCACTAAGGTATACACTTTTCTTGGAGGAACTTTAAGCTTCTCAGCATTTTCTGTTTTGATTTTAGTTGTGAGGGTTTTTAGCTCATTTGAATAAATTTACCAGTCATGTTCAATATGAGAAAGATATATGGAACTTTAGTAGCTGTATTAGTGATCATGCGCTAGATAATAGCTATTGTCTTCATCTTTTTTCATTTAGTTTGTTTTATTTTCACCTAAAAATGGGAATCCTGTAACAAAGTTTTGAGTTTTCTGAGCGCACTTCACTTGGATTGCAAGACATTGAGTTGGAAAAGTATTTTGGCAGCATCTGTCACCAAACATTGAAATACAACAATAGGAATGATGTTTTCTTGTTGAGTTAAAATATACTTCGCAGTAAGCTGGTAAGATTTTGTTAAGGTTTGAATTGGGAAGGAATGCAGAGGGGCCTCATCAGGTGCTAGCTTTTTGAACCTGCCATTCTGCAAAATTTGTTGAAAATCTATTTTGAGTAAATTTGGGATTTGTTGGAACAAATCTGGCCCCTCAACTTTCCCTTGTGAATTGTAGGATGTGTTTGTCTTCAACTCATCTCATGACTGAAGGATGTGTTGTCTTAAACGCGATCATCATCACCTCTTATTCCAACTATTTTAGGGTCAATAAACTGATAGTGTTGTCTTGTTGCTTACTAATTGTCTAGAATGAGTGAAAACATAAATTCTTGAAAGAAGAAGTGTTCAAGTTTAATGCCAAATGTTGCATTGTCATTTCTGTTCCTTCCTTCTTACGAAATAATATTATAATATGGCTATTGACACTCTTGTACTATGGGACTATGGTTTATGTTTGCTTCCGAGATAATTAACCTTCACTGTATCCGGTTTACAAAGGCTGAGTTTGTGTCTCACCTTTTTCAATATTTTTGGCAAAATTGACAACAATAATGTCTAGTTTTACGCATCTTATAGAATAATCTCTAGTGTAGATACATACCACAATAATCGCAACTCGTTATTGAGTTGAAAAGAATTGCAATTTAATGGCTTTAAACTTCCGATACGTGGATTCACTTTTGTGAAACCATTAACAAGGTGAGATCTGTTTGTAAACTTACCGAAACTCAGGATTATTTGTGTCAAAATCTCAAAATTTTCTTTTATTGTATATAGGGTTAGGAATGAATGAATGCTTTAACATAAGATGATTTTCAGATTAAGAGAAAGGCGTAAACACGATTAACAAAAAAAGACTACAAATAAATTTATAACAATTTAGTATCCTGTATCCCATGTGTTTATTATTATTAGGGTTACATCAAATTAAAAACTTTGATTAAAGTTTGAATTAATGCTCACTTTTTCATGCTTAAATTATTTTTATTCAAAATACACTAAAGAGCTCGATTATAATGCAATAATTAAAAGTGAATATGTTGAAAAATTGATACCCCCTCCGTCCCATTCAAAGGTTCTCACTTTCCTTTTCTTGGACGTCCCACTAAAGGTTCACATTTTCTATATTAGGAAAAAATAACACTCTTAAATAATAATTTAAACATCAAATATTAAAAATAATACATTTATAACATCACTGTTATCATCAATAACTCATTATATTATATATCCATCAAAACAATTTCTCAAAATATACTTCAGTTAGCATATTTTATTATTGTCTAAATAATCGTGCCATTTTGCAATGGGAACCTTTGAACTGGAGAGAGTTTGTACAAAAGAAGAGAATTGTATAGAATAAGGTTGACCACATAAATACTTCTACAACATATACGATTGTTTGGTGGAATACATGAACAATGAATCAATTATTGTATTATTTTTAAGGAGACATCTAAAATTAGTACTTGAGGTCATCCCTAAGATTATCAGGTTATTTGTAATCCTAGTTTGAGTATATTTATTTTCCCTTAGTTCTAGTTTGCGTGTCAAAATATTTAAACATTTTCTCAAATCCGGGTACCCCATATTTAAATTTTTTTCAAATCATCTGCAAACTCCCCAACCGTAATTCTTAAGATTCTTCCCTCAAATTGGGTACTGCATTATATATATTCAAACAAATATCCATCTGTTCAATCTAATTATTATTTTCTCCTTACTTTTTATCAAAATTTTATCACATACTAATTTTATTTTGCATTATAATAGAGATTTTAGTGCAGTTTTTATAATAATAAATCAAATACTAATACTCCGTATGTGACTATTAAATAAAATACTAATTTTAATTTATTATTATTAAAAAAATACTAAAAGCACTATTGTTTTTGTGAACCTGTTAACATTTTTTGTTTAGTGTTGTGAAGATCCCAAAAGGAATTATTTTTTATAAAATGCATAAAAGAATGGATTATTAGTGTCAATTTCACACTTTCTGTACCTATCCTCAAAAACTTATGTGCTATTATTGTCCTTGAATCATATCCAGTCTAATAATAATTACTATAATGTAATTCTACCTTCCAGTGCCACGATGGCTATTTTGGATGTTGTACAGCTGGTAAGAGCTGATGTATCAACAGTTGCCCTCGGAATTTCAGCATCCACAGCTTCTCTAATACTTGCTGGTGGCACAAAAGGGAAGCGTTTGGCTATGCCTAATACCCGAATTATGATACATCAACCACTTGGAGGTGCGAGTGGGCAGGTAATTGATGTTGAAATTCAGGCCCGAGAAATCATGCATAACAAACAAAATGTAATAAGGATACTTTCCAATTCCACTGGTCGATCATCTGAACAAGTTGAGAAAGATATCGATAGAGATCGCTACATGTCCCCGATTGAAGCAGTGGAGTATGGCCTTATTGATGGAGTTATTGATAGAGAAAGCATTATTCCACTGGAACCCGTTCCTGAACGGGTTCAAGCTACATTGAGCTCAGAAATCACTAAAGATCCGGAGAAGTTCCTTGCTCCAGATATCCCTGATGATGAATTATATTAGCTGGTGTGGAATGGCACTTTGAGGTACATATTTCTTTTGCCGTATTATCATTATTATGAGGTTAAGTGAAGTTTGTGAAGATGAACTGAGATAAGTTTGCATTTAATCCTCATAGATTCATAGCCATGAAGATATGGACACTGTAATTGGTAGCTTTATGCACTTAGTAACATTAGACAATTGCATTTCTTTCTTTCCTCAAATCTCATGTATAGCTTTATCACATGAACTTTTGGCTGTGTGAACTGTGAAGTAATAACTATTGTACTCATAGTTTGTAATTATCAGCAACCTACTAATGCCCAGTGGCAGTTTGGTAATGCCTATTGAAGCAATAAAATCTTGGCAGTTTGTAATTTCAGCTCATCAACCAGACTCTATTGGCCAAACAACAATTATTTGGCAATGCATATTGTATTGGTCAATAGTGGAAAATAGTAGGGTCGTAGTTGCTAGAGATCATCATTTTTGTTTTTCTCATAGTTTTCTAAAAACATTCCTCATTTTTGAATTGCACTTACTTTTTCTTGACATTATTGGATTCTCTCTTAAAACTTGAGAGGAAACACATTAGTTGTTCTCAATGATGGGTGGGCATACATTACAACAAGATACTCTGTCATCACTTATTCACTTATATGAATTTCAAGTGACGGTGTCCTGTTTGTATCAACATTTAGCCCGTGAGCTCATGAGCCTGTGGGGACCTGCCCATCCCGTTTGCTAGAAAGCCCAGCCCACTATTTGATGGGGCAGGCATGAGGTAGGCTAGTTGAAACCCTGCCCAACCCATTGGCCCAAACCGTCATAGCTCATTCAAACTCTGCCCCTTAACCCCAACTAAGCCCAGCCCGGAATCCCATTTATACACTTCATTATTTTTGATTAATTATTTACTAAATCCATACGTTAGTAATATAGAATAATATTAGCATGGTAGCTGTACAGGGTTACTCGCTTATCCAGTGCACACTCACTCTAGGCTATTTTGCTAGTCTTGCCTTTTTGCCATTGGTTGTCGATTATCAAAATACAAAATCTATGGAAAAATAAGTGTGGTATTTGTACATCTCCATCCTAGAGTGTCTTGTCAAAATCATAGATGTAGATAAGTTTGAACTTTTATTAAATATTTTACATTTTCTGGAGGATCAAATTTTTTTTTTCACTAAGTTGATTACTTGTCCTTACCTCGATGGGAGCCTTTGCGCCACTTGGGTAATGATGATTACTAAGTTGATTACTTGTATTTTTGTGATACATAAAGTGAAGAACTTTATATTTCTTGTAAGCCCATTTACACTCAACCCTATTAGTGCATGTGGGCCGGGCCGATCTTAACTCTTAAGACAAACTATGTAGACAAATTATGGCTACAATTGTTTTACAAAAGCACGACCCAGCCCCATTAGTTAATTTGTTTTATATGAGCCCCGCCCAGCCCAGCCCAGCCCCATCAATTCGTGCAGGTAAAACCTAGAAACTTGATTGTCTTCTTATCTGTTTGTATTTAACAGTTCATGCATTTCCCCTTAGGGGAAAATAAATAATATACCCCGAACTTTGCCTTGGTGTGAGCTCCCCACCCCGTACTTGTCCTGATTTAAAAATACCCCAACTTTATTTATTTAAATTTTTTGTACCATATTTAATTAACAAATAATATTTCTCAAATTAAAACCTGTTAAATAGATTTAGTTGGGAAAAAAAGATGCATGATTCCCCAAAAAATGTGTACTTTCTTTGATGATTTAGTAAAACATGGGGCATAAACATCTCAACTTTACAAAGTATGAGATATTTATACAATATGGACAAGTTTGGGGTGGGGATATCACACCAATGCAAAGTTTAGGGTACTTTATTTATTTTCCCCTTACTGTTTATGTGTCAACTGAACTTTCAATCCTATATGTTTTATCATATGCGCACTATTGATACCAATTTTTTTAAAGGTAACCTGTCACTCATTTTATTCTTCCAACTGACGAGCTCTTCTGAATTACGACTCTTGGATCTCATTTTCTTGAAGAAGGCATTGATGCATTTCCAGAATTACCAACTTCCGTGTTGTAGATTTGCATTGACAATATGTTTCGACCCGCAGCATTTTTCTTGAAAACATTGAAGCTCGTTGACCGTAAGAGGATTGAATATTCAACTTGCAAGCGTTTATGGTTTGGATATGGATGAAACTTCAAAGTTTGGATATTCTATGTATGGTATAATCACTACAATGTCAAGAGGAACTGACTCTTGTATTTATATATAAGTCTTAGTCTAGTAAATGGTTTCATGCATACCCAAACTATTAAGTAATTTTCTGCAACAATGCAAGTAGAGCTGTCAGTTACTACAAAATAGATTTTTCCCCTTTGAATCAGATAAATTAACCCTTGGCCAGGGTACAATAAAACACAGCGCAATCTCTGACCTTGAGTATGTTTAGTCAGAGGGGTTTGGAGTGTGGAGTAATGGGAAGGGAAACTGTTGCCTTACTCATTTGGTTGAAAATATTGGGAAGGGAAGATGTCTAGTTTTCCCTCCCAACTAGGGATGAACCTGATTTAGGATCTAGAGCTAGACTGGGTCCGGTGGGTAAAAAAATTGAACTGGGCACCGTGTTTTGGTTTCAATCCTGAGGTGGTACCCAAAACCACTTTTCCTCCAAAACAACACTAAACCCCGACTCCAGTTCTGTTTTCTTAGTAGTTTGTACAGTCAGATTCAGCAGCTAGCAAGGGTTTTGATTTTTTCACTTTTTAAATGTTAAAGATCGGAACCGAGCTGTAACTGGTTTGCGCGGTTAACATTTTGATTCTTCTTTTACCTTACCCGTAACGAGCCCGGGTCGAATCCTACTCCTCAACCTCTTCCCTTATTTTCCATCCTCCAATTTGGGAGTTCTGTGCAGAAAGCTAATTTCAGCTAACATTCTCCTCCTCTTCCCTCCCCTCCAAAATCCCCCAACCATACAGGGGTGAGAGATCATTGTTTCTACGCCCCCAAAGCCCCACGTCACATACCCTATAGGCCTATACAACAACAAAAGAGTTTGGGTCAGCCATCATGACATCCCTATAATTTTAGAAGATACTTGCATTTTGCCATGTCAGACCAGCTTAGTTTGATGAACTTTTAGATCTGTGAACTTGTGAAGTAGTGAAATACTCATAAACCAAACCTTATAGCTAGCGATTCTTGGAATCAACCAACAAAAAACAAATACAAAATGGAATGGGAGGAGGGCGGGGAGGGGGTTAATAAAAAAAACTTGATGATTGACTTGTGTTGATAAAAAAACTCGTGTTCGCAAGTTTTTCTTCGTAAACGCCCGATATATGATGATTGACATGGTTTAATAGATTGGATTAAAGTATTTAGTGATTATTTATTTATTTTGTTTGGATGAAATTTAATTTAAATATATATAGAATCATCCAAGAATGTCTACGTATAGCATGTGAACAAAACTATAGGCATATCCCAGTAAGGATGCCCTAACACATCAAAAGATATGTAACCAAAACATTTAAGTCCGTTTTAAAAAATCAGCCATCAAGCCGTGAAAGAAATAGGTGATGAATAGTTCAAAGAGTTAATTCCTTATATAGGGCAAAAAAGTGAGTCAAGAGCATAAATAGGACTACATGTTTTTTCTTCCATCTAGTAGGACTATTTTATGTGTATTTGGACAAATATGCCCTTGAGGCTTTTGAAAGGTCTTAATTAATAATAAATTCATAAAAAAAATAATAAAGGACTGGCGTGGCTAGTTGGGATAACCAAGCCAGTTTTGTTAGGCATGGCAAGCCATAAAAAATAGATTGAATCTACATTTCAAGGATTAAAAAACATAAAAAACGTCAAAAAGTATTAAAAAATTCCAAAAAATATTTATAAAATAAAAAAAATTGATTTTTTTTAATTTACAGAAAAAATTAAAAATGCAAAAAAAAAACGCCGCCTCTGCTACCCCCAACACCACCACCTCCCATCACCAGTTGGAAATCTACCAAAAATTGTAGTAATGCCATAATAATGGCAGAATCAATGATAATTTTGGCATTATGATGAGTAAAAATTCCATTTTCTTGGCATTTTCAGTAAACAGTGGCATTTGTTTTTACAAATAATGGCAGATTCTGTACCAATCGTATTTATCCTTTTTTTATTTTTTTTTTATGGATTTTTACTATTTTTATTAATTTTTTCAAAAAAAAAAAATCGAAAACAGAAATCTGCCAACAATTCTAGTAATGCCATAATAATGGCAGATTCAATGAGATTTTTGGCATTATGAAGAGTAATTACGCCAATTTCTTGTCATTTTCAGGAAAAAATTGATTTTGTTTTATAAAAAGTGGCATAATTTTTACCGATCGAAGGTGATGGTTTTGGGAGGCGGTGGGAAAGGTTTCCATATTTTTTCTAATTTTGTTATGATTTTTTACTATTTCTTAATATTTTTTTTAAAAAAATGAGAATTTTTTTTTATTTTTTTTAAATATTTTTTTATTTTTTTTTATTTTTTTTGTACGATTTTTAAAAAAATTATGATTGTTTTTTACTATTTTTTAAAATTTTATAATGCATCATTACATGTTAGTATGAAATAATACCCTTAGGGGCATGAAAAAGTGCATATCTTTGCACTTTGCACGACAAGAGACCTTTTTATTTGAACTCTTTCCTCATCCATCTTTAGAGTATCTCCATCAAAACGTAGTGCATTTCGAACACTCCATATCTAGCAGATTGCGCAGCTAAAATTTATCCTTGTTGCCTTTGCCCCAATGTGTGCTCCATTGCAATCCCTTTGAATCCACTTCACCACACTCCTTAGAGATGTCATCTGTCTCGAGATTCCTAGCCACTCTTTAACCTTCTTCCAAACTTGCCCTGTAATATGACAATCAAAATAGAGGTGTGGCACCATCTCCGGACCACCCTTACAAAATGGAAATATATTAACAAGATTAAGATATCCCAAATTGCCACACGTAGCTAGCCTATTACGAAGCAAGCCACATAATGAATGGGAATTTGGGAGGGATATAGGGTTTCCAAATGAATGACATCCAAGCACGAGATGTACCTCTAATTCTTAGGAGATCATATACCTTGGAGGAGGATAACTTACCATTGATTTAATTTCAGTATTATTTTCTCTTGAGTAGCAATTATTTTTGTTTTAGTCCGAGTAGATTTGATTTAAATGTTTGGATTTTTAGAGTTCTTTTGATAGGCAGGGTGTCGGTTCCAGGCTATGTAGCACCGATACCGGTACGCGGAAACGCGGAAACGGGTACGGGGATACGTCAAAACCAAAAAAAGTAGGATACGGATACGGGGCCATATTTATAAATATTAAAAGTTATGGGGGTGTATTTACAAATATTAAAAGTTATAGGGGTCTATTTATAAATATTAAAAATAGATTTTTTTTAAATATATATATATATATATATATATAATATCCTATCATATCTACCCATTCATTGCATTGAAGCATTTTCCTTTTTCAAGATACTTAGTAATAAATTCATAATATTTCTCATAAACACTAGTGCATCTCGAAATATAAATGTAGTCAATAAGTCATTAATTTAAAATGAGAAATAAGTCAAACAACTACAATCTTGAAATTAAAATTGCAAGTACCCAATTCGGTGTATGAGTTAATGACTTAATTCGGTTATAGCCATATAGGCCCATTATTTGATTACCAAGTAAAATGTAGTTTAAGATTTTCATTTTTTTTTTCGAATTTTATTAAGTAAATTTTGGGATTTGTTTTTAAAAAAAGTTGATACGGGTATCCGTCCGGATACGAGTATCGGAAACTTTCAAAAAATTACAAAAAAAATGGAAACTTTTAAAAATTGCAGATACGGCCCGGGAACGTACGGTACGGGTATCCTAGAGTATCGGATACGGGAACGTATCGGATACGCCGATACGCTACCCTAGGGAAGTATCCGTGCTTCATAGGTTCCAGGCATTTTAGGATAAACATACGAAGTATAAAAAACCAGTTAAAATGTCATATTGATCGACTTTTTAAAGTAGCATACTTATTTGATACTCTTTTCGTCTCACAAAACTTGGACAATTTGAGTTTTCGTGGTCACGATAAAAAAGTTTGCATGATGATTTTAGCTATTATTAATGTGTGAAAGTTACAACTTTATACTTTTATTAAAATACTTGCAACAAAGAACATTTTCATATCACTTTCATTTTTAAAATAATTTCATATTAAGAAATATAATTGTCAAACTTGACCATTATTGACAAAACAAAAATCAATTTGACCAAATTTTATGGAATGAAAGTAGTAATTTTTATATAAACGTAATGATGGAAAATAATGGAAGGATCCATTTTTCTTAAACCTATGTAAATTTTTTTCTTTTATATCTCAATAAAATCTCAATAAAATCATTTTTTTTTAAAGTAGAAGGAGAGTTTTATCCCGGAATAATGCTAAATAAATAAATAATTCCAAAAATACTGTTGGGTTAAAAATAATTCTCAAAATACTGTTGGATTAACCGTGGTTAAAGAAAGGTGCCACTATAAGTGACGGTTTTTACCTGCAGTACAATTCGCAGCCCACACAAGTAACGTACGAGTAGATGTAATGCTAAAGCCAAAATTAATGGGTCCCATCAAAATTATAAATCTCCTATTTTCTTTGAAGTGTCGTAACTTTTTTATTTGTACTTTGATTGTTACAAAAAATATACCAAAATTCATAACTTTTTATTATCTTTCATAGGACAACAATATTGAATATATAAACTCAAAAACTAATTTAACTCTTTTAAAATTACTGCATATTTATTTTAAAGTGTTACATATTTTTTATTTGTATTCCGAATATTACAGAAAATATATCAAAATTTATTATTTTTTATTAACTTTTAAAGGGAAGCGATGTTTCATATAGAAAAATAAAAAGAAAATATATTAATTTGTGTAGTATGGAATCGTTTTTTACCATGCACAAAATTAATCGAGAGTGATAGACTAAAACAAAATTACACAAACTCCATCACATTTATTTGTTTATTTATTTTTCGCACGAGAATTTATGCTGTTGTATTTCATATGACACCAATATTGAATATATAAAATCCGGAGTGCATGATAAAAATCGATCCAAAAATACACAAATTAATATATTTTCTTTTTATTTTCCTATAAAGATAATGAAAAATAATAAATTTTGATATATTTTCCGTAATAATCGGAATACAAATAAAAAATATGTAACACTTTAAAATAGATACGCAGTAATTTTAAAATAGTTAAATTAGTTTTTGAGTTTATATATTCAATATTGGTGTCGTATGAAAGATAATAAAAAATTATGAATTTTGGTATATTTTTTGTAACAATCAGAGTACAAATAAAAAAGTTACGGCACTT